GACATGAGTTCGAGGAGAGAGGATCGCAGTCTTGCAGCACGAAGATGCCTGGAGGACAAAGGAACATGGAATCGATGTGCATGCGTTGAACAAGAAGGGCTATGGGAGATGATGAGACCTCGATCCTTCACGTCTGACGGATGTACTTGCTAGGCAAGCATGGACCAGGGCGAGCATGACGCCATGGCACCCGAGGGTGAAGGGTCGCACAGAGATCCGTGGGCAGAGAGGCTGCAGATGCTCGGGATGTCGGACGACTTGATCCTCAAGGCAGCTCGTGCTCTCGGGTAGTTGGCTTCCTCTGACCCCTCCGAGCGCAGGTGTTTGCTAGGGTGGACGACCACCCGCTCCTGGCCTGCTGCTCGAGGTTGAATCGCAGGTTGAGGCAGGTACGTGGAGGATGGAGGGGAGCTCGTAGTGCTGCATGCGTCCTCTGAAGTTTCCTCGCTCGGGCAGCTCCTCAACGACGATTCCCTGTGGGAGAACATCTGCCAGCGAGTCATGCGGGGGAAGCAGCCGCCGCAGAACGGTTGGGGAGGGAGAGTGCGGAGGACGGTGGTCAGCTGACAAGTGTGCAAGGGGTGAACTTCCTGCCCGAACCGGGAGAGAGCTACAAGCAAGTTTTCCTCAGGATCCTGTGCGATGGCGACGGAGCTTGGAGCTGAGAGGTCTTGACTTGCGTTGGCAGGTACGACGTGTCGCGGCTCGAGATCAAGCGGGAGGAAGTGATCAACAGCTCGTGGAGGTTCTACTTCTGCTCCGATATGGTGGGTGGCGGCCAAGAGCAGGGGGTGGGGGCTGACATGGAGGCTGCAGTACTTGTACCATGCTTCTCCCGAGCAGGCAGCACTTCGAGACTCGCGGTCTGCCCGGGCCTTCTTTTCATCCGATGGGATCTTCATGAGGTGAGGAGCAGCAGCAGGATCAGGAGAGGGGGGAGGAGGAGGAGGAGGAGAGGGAGGGAGCAACAGGAGGAGGGAGCAGCAGCCGCAGCAGCAGCAACAGGATTTATGGCGCTGATGGCTGCTCGGTATCCAGCACTGTTCCCGGGGCTCCATCGCAGCGATCGACACTCAAGTGGCAGGTCGGCAACTTCTGCCTTGACCTGACCGCCAGGGTGTGTGACGTTTGTGTGCTTGGAGCAGCTGCTGCTGCGGTCGGAGGATGAGTCGGGTGCGCTTGCTGGGGGATCGTGGAGCGTGCTGGGATGTGATCAGGAGGCAGGCAAGGGAGAAGGGAAGCTGTGTAGCTCGGAAGAGCGGGGAACACACTTGCAGGTAACTCGTTCTCCTGCTCTCCTCGCGTGTCTGAGAGCTCGAGGCAGATTGGTTCTTATCCGGTGCTGAGCGTGACGAGGACGCAGAGTTGGGGCTGGTGCCTGGTAGGCAGGAGGAGAGGGGAAAGGCGGGGGGGGGGGGGAAGTTGGGGGGAGGGAGGGGGTTCTAAGGGGGGGGCAAGGGGCCGAACTTAGCTTTGGGGGGGAAGGGAGGAGGGGAGGGGGGGGGAGATGGATGGGGGTAGCTTGCTCGCGCTGAAATGTTGTGCAGGCGAGCAAATTTGTTGTGCTGGTTTCGGAGAATTCTCCTGATCAGAAACCTGGGCAGCAGGAGATGTTGCTGGGCGAGCTGAGGGCCACATGACACGGTTTGCTGCTGGAGTGTTTTGATCGTGATCGGTAGAGATAATATGGACTCACTCATTATCGGATGCACAACTGAGGAGGGAGTGATGTGGGTTGAGAGGGGCGCGGGCAGTGGCAGGGGAAGGGAGCAAAGGATGAACTTTGGAGTCTTGTACTGAACTTATGATACATCTCATCTCCTCTTCCCTTCTTCCTCCCGTGCTCGTCAGTGCCACGTCAGGCTTGCTGTGGGAACATTCAGCAGAGGAGAAGAGTCTCGTTGTGCTTTCGGCCTTTCAGATCTGTTCGCCAACTCCTCTTCCAGCTGTCGAATTCCTGATGATTTAATGTCAGAGCAAGAGATTGTATGCAGGAGAATTGTAATCTCGAATTTTCTCAATCAATGAATAGAAAGAATAACAATCAGAACACAACCAAGAAAGCAAAAGTCCACTCATCAAAACAAACGCAAACATCCCACCAACCGGCGTTGAAGCAACCACAACGAAGAGTTTACAAAACAAGAAAGAAGGCATCGATGACAGCAAAATGCACGCAAACATCATCCACGAATGTTCGAGCGGAGCATCTCCCCTCGTCCCGTCTCCTCCATCTCACTTGCTCGACTGTTTTGAATCTCTTCCTTGGCTTGCGCGAGCAGACTGACCTGCAGCAGCCGGTGAACGGAGGGAAGGAGAGCAGCAGCAGCAGCAGCAGCAGCAGCAGCAGCAGCAGCAGCAGCAGCAGCAGCAGCAGCAGCAGCAGCAGCAGCAGCAGCAGCAGCAGCAGCAGCAGCAGCAGCAGCAGCAGCAGCAGCAGCAGCAGCAGCAGCAGCAGCAGCAGCAGCAGCAGCAGCAGGGAGGAACAATAGAAAGGGGAACGGAGGACGGAGGACGGAGAGCAAGCATAACTTGAAGGGACAAGGGAGCTGAGAAAAAGGAGAGAGGAGCACGTCAACGAGCAAGTGAAAATGCTGGTTGTAGTGCCTATGGTTGATGATGATGAGGATGATGAGGATGATGATGAGGATGATGATGATGATGATGATGATGATGATGATGAGGATGATGAGGATGATGATGATGATGATGATGATGATGATGATGATGAGGAGGAGGAGGAGGAGGAGGAGGAGGAGGAGGAGGAGGAGGAGGAAAAGACAAGGAGGAGCAAGACGAGACAGGCAACGGCATCAGCGCCAACAGCAGAAGCAGCGAGGGGTCTTCATACAGTTTGAACGCATTCGTCCATGGTGATCTAAGGAAAGAGGCAAGGTCACATGAAAGAGCATCGCAGGTCTGGTCGCACTGACCGGAACCTCCTCCGCTTCCTCCAGCATCTGCTCGATCAGTTCAGAATGTCAGGCTTGCGAGAGCAGTTTGAGTCTCTTGCCTCTCGCAGACGCGCGATCTCCTCTACGTAGGCCTGCGGCATCCTTCAGGTAGGAGGAGGAGGAAGAGGATGATGGGGAGCAGGAGCAGGGGCAGGGGCAGGGGCAGGGGCAGGGGCAGGGGCAGGGGCAGGGGCAGGGGCAGGGGCAGGGGCAGGGGCAGGGGCAGGGGCAGAGGAGGGAGCAAGAAGCTTTTGTTGCCTTCATCTTCTGCTTCAGCTCCCTCACGATCCTGCTGTCCTCCACAGACTCGGCGACGTTCTGTCAGATATCAGAGAGACTCGGCAAGAAGGATGGGCGTCTACCTTGACGGGCAGCCCTGCGGTGACCTGAACCTGATGCCACTGGTGAGGAAGGGAGGGCAGGGCAGGGCAGGGCAGGGCAGGGCAGGGCAGGGCAGGGCAGGGCAGAGGAGAGGAGAGGAGAGGGGGGGTAGGGGAGAGGTAGAGGAGAAGACTTACTTGCTTTAACTCTTCACACAGCATCGCTTCTGTCTCTGTTTTTTCTTTGATGGTGCTGCAGGTGAACATCAGGATACAAGATTATTCTGATCGCAAAACAGTAGATGCTCACTGCTGCTGACTCAAGACTTTTCGTACGAGCCTCACTGTATCAATCAAGTCAGCCGCTGCAAAAATCCTCTCCTCTCCTCTCCGCTCCGCTCCGCTCCTCTCCTCCCCCCTCCCCTGCTTTGCTCTGCTCTGATCTGCTCTGCTCTGCTCACAACAATGGCATCACCTGCAAACGTTCTCACGGAAGACAAGTCGGCCTTGTAAGACTTGATCTTAAACGTCAGGAGCAACATCTGACCGGCAGATTAGAACACACCTCAATCTCTTCTCTGGCCTCGTGAAGCTCCGAAGACAACTACGTCCGAACCCACGTGTTATACCCCATCATCAGTCATTCCCTCTTGCCAGCACCTCGCAGATCGCTTCCTTGGCATCATTCATGCAAGCAAGAAGAACTAAAACAATCTCAGAGGAATCTCTACCACACATCCCCGCCTACCTGTCGCTTCGCTCTCCCACTTCCGTAACTGGAAGGCAGAACTCCGATCAAAGGATGTCCCAAGGGGGAGTAACGAAGTTCACCTGCTCCTTCTCGCTCTCGTTCTCGTCTTCCCTTTCTGCGATCTGCCGTGATGAAATTCGAAGGAAATTCAGGGATGAAGGCCATAAGAATGAGAAAAAACCTTCCCGTCGGGATGGGGAGGCTCGAATGGGGCACGTAGATATTCCTTCAATCTCCGAACCTCCTCCCTCGCCTACCGACACAACAAACATGTGAAATTCAGGTAGTACAAGAACCAAGACACAAGGCCTCACGATCTGAAGCTCGTCCAACGCTTCATCACGCTCACACTTCAGCTGATCCTGTAGCACAAGAGACTTTGTCATGGACGTAGAGGTAGAAACCACTGAGCAACCTTCTCCTCCTCCAATCTCTTCGCTAGAGCATCGATCTTCTCAGCCCAGGCTTGCATCTCTCCATCGAACGAATTGTTCGACAGCGCCGGCGAGCAGGTTGACTTCTCCTCACGAGCAGAGCTTTCTTCTGCTAGCTCCTCCGCTAGCTCCTCCGCTGGCTCCTCCGCTGCCACCAGAACTTGAACATGCGCGCTCGAAGCTTCAGCACCCTCGTGGTCTGTCTCAGCGGGGAACAGCTATCAAGGCGCGTCATACAGCTGACATGGGAGGACAAGAAACGACTGTCACCGTCTTGGATAGCCTGGGATTTTCTGAGCCCTGTGCGTTGGACGGTTGACAGTTCTCCTTATCTGCAACCCCACTGACCGAGTTTCAGGGTAGACAGCCCAGGTTCTACCTTCGAAGCCCCTGTCAGTCTGTATGTCGAGAGCAAACTTGAGCTCCATCTTCAGCCGGTCGATCGTGTTGCAACAGTCTTGCTGAGCCACACAGCTGCTCCTCTGCGAGGAGAGTCTCAACGATGGCAGGAGCGAGGGAGGTACGAACCTTGATGAGAGTCTCTGGGGTGCGGATGTCCTCCATCCTTATGGAAATTTGTTGACCTTGTTGGACCTGGTGTTTGAACTTGTAAGTAGAGATAATGTATACCTAATCATCTCCGGGATGATGGAACGAGTCAGGATGGAAAAAGATCAGAATGATCACTATAACTATCGCCATCATCTAAAATCATACATATCGACATCATGCACGTCCACATCGTCGTTTATCATGTATATTAACATGATATACATCTACAACATCTTCTATCTTATGTATCCACATCATCATCAACATCTTCATTGTTTCAGCTTGATCAGCATCTTTGGCCTCGTCCTTGTTTATCCTGTCTTCCTCGCTCCTTGTTTATCCTGTCTTCCAACACGCCAATTCAAAAAACTTGAACAGTGATGGCCCGGTTGGGGATGAGGGCGCTTTCCGGGCCCCGCCGCCCACCAACCGAGTCGGATCATCATGGCATGCGGATCGGAACTTCGGATCACGCCGGGTACCTCCGAAGCGCCTCCGGCGGCCTGCGTGTGACTCGTTACGGACTCCGGGACGCCTCACCGTGGCACCGCCCGGGGGCCCGGGCTGTAATCTATCCTTGAATGCAGCTTGGAATGCTGCCCGGTTACACTGGTTCAGTCGCCGGGAACTGACTTGGAACCTTCTTTACTCAAAGTTAAGTTAAAGATCACTTCGAGCCGGGACCGTTGAATCAGGAGATGTCGCACTGGCCAAACCGCGAGAAGAGAAAAGACAGCGAGAACCTGGGAACAGTGCTGCCAGGCCGGCCGGGCCTCACCGGGGCCGGGAGGCTCAGTGACTCACCGGTGCCGACAGTCGGACCGCCGCCGGTGGATTTCAGCCTGGCAGGGATTCAAGTTTAGTCAGGATCGGATTTTAAGTTAGTCAGATTTCCCCAGGGTCAGGAAGGGGATGGGGGCTCCTCCCAAAGAAGTAGGAGGGAATGAACGAGGAACTCGATAGTTCCGCGGGGGGGGAGGGGGGGAGGGGAGGTAGGTGTTGGGGGAGCGGGGGGCGGGAGCGAAGTGGAGGAGGAGGAGGAGGACGAAGAGGAAGAGAGGGAGGAGAGGAGGTAGGATAATCGGGGAGTATCAGAGCCTGGAGGATCAGGGAGAGGAACAATGGGGAGTGATTCTGGGAACAGTCTTATTGCATGTAGGAATCTTACCAGCATCCAGAAACCACTTTGTTACTCTGTACCTTCCCTGTGTTTGAAGGAGGGAAATTCACCTAGCGCTTTTCCTGCTCCACTCTGACGGAATACCGTTCAGATACCTCCTCCTCAAAATGATCGCCTCAAATTCCCCTCTGATTTTTGTTTGTCTCGGGTACAGGGCATGGGGTTCTAACTAAACCGGAGCACCCCCTAATCCAACCATCACACTCGCCATGGCAGAGAAGCGGAAAGCAGATTCCTCCCAGGGCCTGATGGGCATGATCAAGCAGCAGCTGAGCGACATGCCCTCTCAGAACAAGAAGCCGCGCCAGGCCGAGAAGAACATGGGCGCTGACCCTGTCCAAACCCTCTTCAACAGGCTCAAGGACATCAGAGACGACTTCTACAAGAGGGTGAGTGAGCGAGCAGCTGCTTGCAGCCCCTCTGAGCGCCTGATGGTGGCCAGGGGGACATGGGCGCTTGCAACGTCGAGATAGAAGCCAAGCTGGGGCTCATCGTCTCCTCTGAGACCGGAGGGAGGACGGGAGCCTTCACCCCCGGGGCAGGAGCGATTGAGATGCTTCCTGGAGTGATGAAGGGGAAGAAGTTCGTGTCCGGAGTGTCGAGGAAAGACTTCGAGAGCTTCAAGAGGCTGCAGGAGGTACCTAGCCTTGCTGAGAAGGTCGCCAAGAAGACGCACGCGTACACCTACAACGACGACCAGCGGATCCAGACGGACGAGGAGGGGAACGTGATACTTGAGATGAAGACCCGAGAGCTGGAGTTCCAGATTCACCTTCCCTCCTGTCCATGTACGAAAGGAGACCCTCGTGCCATCTCGCGGCCGCTGACGTGCTTGTTGTCAACCAGATGATTGCAGGATCACAGTCTCCATCGAGAAGCCTCTGGAGCAGAGCGAGAAGGTAGTGGTGAAGGAGGGATGGCACTCCCACAGAGTCAAGGACCGAGCTTCCTTCGTCGATCTCAAGGCTCGGCACGGACACCCGAAGGTTTCTCAATGGCAGGCAGACTTCACTCGAGTCGCGACCTCAGTCCAGCGAGACCCGACGGTGGAGGAGACGTTTGAGGTGGAGCTGGAGCTGAAGGTGGAGGCTGGAGTTTGGCTCGACGTCCACCTGACCTGACATGCCCAAGGCGGAAGAATGCAAGTCATGGATACAGGCGAACGAAGCTGAGGATGCAAAGCAGAAGGTCCGAGGGTCCCAGCAAGGCTCCTGCTGGATTGACACGCCTGCTGACAGACTGGCGACATCGCAAGGGACCTGTGGAATCGTATCAGCCAGATGATGCCGAGGGAACAGACTGCTGGCAAACTTGTAGAGGTGGGCCCTGTGATTCACTTCCCCTCGTCTGACGTCGCTTGAATCTCAAGGTCAAGGACTACGCGGTGGAGGAGGCAGCGCAGCGCGTTTGCGTTGCCTGCTTTGACTCGGCGGAGGCCAACAACTCGGTCAAGTTTGAGTTTCCCGGTATCATGACATGAGGCTGCGTGTGGGAGGAAGGGGTCTGACGCATCGAGGAAGGGACTATGCCCATCGGCTTCAGCCGCAAGTCGATTGAGAAGGTGAAGTTTCAAAGAAGGTGAGGCGTCTCCGTGCTCAGCCTCCTTCAGGTGCAGAAAGAGAGCTACATGGTGTCCGAGAAGACGGATGGGGTGATCTCCTCCTCCTGATCCCCCTCCTTCTCCCCCCCCTCCTGATCCTGATCCTGATCCTGATCCTGATCCTGATCCTGATCCTCCTCCTCCTCCTCCTCCTCCTCCTTCTCTCCCACCTTATCCTCCTCCTTCTCATCCTAATCGTCGTTGTCATCGTCTCTTTTTCTCTTCGGCTCCTCGTCGTTCTTCTCTTCTTCTTCGATTCGATTCATGTTATGGACTCGCTGACACAGCTCTTTCTCAGATCCGCTACCTCCTTGCCTGCGTCGCTTCTCCCGGTCGAGCCGGGCCTTGTTTCCTGTTCTGCTTCCTGACCCTCTGAGAAGAGGCTGGGAAGCCGCCCGTCGCTGTACTTCTCGACAGGAAGTTCAAGGCCTGGACGATGGTGCGAAATGAAGGACAGGGGCCGGCGGGTTGACGCAGCCATGCAGGAGGGGATGGAGGAGATCGGGGCTGCTCTGGGCGTTGGGACTGTTCTTGATGGAGAGGTTGTGAATCTCTCCCTCCCTCCCTCCCTCCCTCCTCTCCCTCCCCCTCCTTCCCTCCCTCCTCTCCCTCTTACCCGCATACAAGATTGTGCGCAACCGAAGTTGGAAGAGAGACATTTTCATGACCTTCGACGCTCTGTCCTGGTGAGCCCTAGAGCTTCGAGAGTTGAAGAGTTCTGACGTGGCAGCTCCCAGCGGCGAGCGATCGGTTGTCAAGGACGAGCTCAAGAAGCGACTTGCCTACCTACAGGCCTCAGCGCCCCCCCCCTCCCCTCCCCCCCGTCTCCTCCTCTCCTGCTATCCTTCCAACCCACCCTTCCTCTCCCGA